TTAAATAAACAATTATGTGCATGTGTTCATGTTATAACTTGTTCAAGAGTCATGATTTTCTTTCTATAAAGGTATCTTTTATATAACCAAAATATATAAGGAACTCATACAACTTAACAAAAGGAAGACAAACAATCCAATTAAAAATGGGCAAAGGACCTAAATCAGGGGCCCTCAAACTATGGCCCACAGGCCACATGCAAATACAAATATTGTATTTGTTCCCGTTTTGTTTTTTTACTTCAAAATAAGATATGTGCAGTGTGCATAGGAATTTGTTCATAGTTTTGTTTTGTTTTTAAACTATAGTCCGGCTCTCCAATGGTCTGAGGGACAGTGAACTGGCCCCCTGTTTAAAAAGTTTGAGGACCCCTGACCTAAATAGACACTTCTTCAAAGTGGACGTACAGCTGGCCAAGAGACATATGAAAAAATGCTCAAAGTCACTAATCATCCAAGAGATGCAAATTAAAACCACAATGAGGTATCACCTCACACCTGTCAGAATGGCTACCATCAACAAATCAACAAACAACAACTGCTGTGAGTCTATGGAGTAAAGGGAACCCTAGCACACTGATGGTGGAAATGTAGACTGGTGCAGCCACTATGGAAAACAGTATGGCATTTTCACAAAAAATTAAATATGGAATTGCCATTTGACCTAGTGATCCCACTTCTAGGAATATAGCTTAAGAAATCTGAAACACAAATCAGAAAGAATGTATGCACCCCTATGTTCATAGCAGCACAATTTATAATAGCCAAGATCTAGAAACAGCCCAAGTGCCCATCAGTAGATGAGTGGATAAAAAAGCTGTGGTACATTTACACCAGGGAATACTATGCAGTTGTAATTAAAAAAAAAAAAAAAAGGATCTCTTACCCTTTGAGACAGCATGGAGGGACATGGAGAGTATTATGCTAAATGAAATAAGCCAGTCAGGGAACTACAAGTATCACATGATCTCACTCATAGGTGGAACCTAATGAACAAAATAAACTAATGAACAAACTATATTCAGAGACATAGAAGCATAGAACAGACTGCAGAATCTCAGAGGGAAGGCGGGGGAAGGTGGATGGGTGAGAAGTGATCAACCAAAAAATTTGTATGCATATATGCATAACGCATGGACACACACAATAGGGTGGTGAACACTTGGGGCGAGGGGCCAGTTAGAAGGGGTCAAAGGGGGTAAAGAGTGACCTATGTAATATTTTCAGCAATAAAGATTTAATTTTAAAAAAGGTATCTTTTAAGAGTTTTGGAGGTTATCGATACAGATTTAACCCGACAGAGCCAGATGAACCGTGTTGTCTGGGGTGAGCAGCATGCCACGGGCGGCTTTCACAGGTAAGTCATTTCTTGGCTCAGAGAGAATCCTCAGCAGCATTAGACTCGAGCTACACTGACTTTATTTCTCTAGTTTTTATTCCCTCTTTACTGACTTGTGTTTATTTTTCTTCCTAGTCCATGCATGGTTGACAAATCATTCCCTCTTGGTGGCAGCCATGATGGAGAATTCAGTTTTATGGTCTGACAAGCTGATATAACAAAAAATCCTAGAGATATAATTTCTGTTGGGTGGGAGAGAGCAGGGAATCTGAGTTCTTGGTCATTTTTGTTTGAATACTGTTCTATCTTGAGTTCAAATCAATGAAGAATTCTGTGCCCCCTGGGAAGAAGAGCAGCACTTTGAAATATGGACTAGTGATGTTTTGTGTTTACTTTTGACCCATGGCTGAAGCTGTAGAACTGAAGCTATTAAGCTCTATGTGTTTGTGCCTACAATTCAGAAAAACCTTTTTATCTTTTTAGTCTCTCTATATAAAAGCCTAAGTGACCATCTGACCGTCCAGTAGCTATGACACACACTGACCAACAAGGGGCAGATGCTCAATGCACAGGCATGGAACCATGTAACAGACTGATGAATCTCAGAGGGTAGGGGGAGACCTCTAGTTAATATATATTTTTATTCATTTCAGAGAGGAAGAGGAAGAGAGAGATAGAAACATCAATGATGACAGAGAATCATTGATTGGCTGCCTCCTACATGCCCCTATTGGGGATCAAGCCCACAGTCTGGGCATGTGCCCTGACTGGGAATTGAACCCTGACCTCTGGTTCATAGGTCGAAGTTCAATGGCAAGGCTTTTATCTTTTGTAGTATATGGAACATTTTCCTATTTCCAGAGTGTATCAATAAATTAGATTATAGCACATTTTAAATTACAAAATGTGTTCTGTTTGGTTAATAAAGATAGCAAGTACTTACAAATGGAATATTCCTAAATTTCACAGAAAATAAGAAAATTGAACCCCTACAGCTTTAAATTTACTAGACATAAAAATAAAAATTATTTTATAGAAAATTTAACTCAATAAAAATTTTAGAATTTAAGTTCACAAAATTAAGGTAACTCTTTGGCAAATGAGAGTAGTATGATAGGTTTTAAACACAGCTTATCTTTCTTTGATTTATCAGTGTTAAGTATAATGTAACTGTACATTTTATTTTATTTGAATTGATTTCTCCTAAATTTATATAGGATAATGGGCCAAATAAGCTAATATTATGCTTGTATGTCAATGAATGGGTTCATTTTTGCCACTTTAAGGAGATGAAAAGTGATGTGTGCGTCGCAGTAGAAATTTGTTATATGTGTCGGTGAGCTTTGTTAGTATGCTAAAATGCCTGGATATGATAGACAGTTCTTAATTATCTTATATCTGCCTGAGGAAATACAGGTTAGTTCTTTGGTTAATTATTATCATTAAAATGTGTTGTTGAGGCTGCCAGTTTCAAATAAAAAAATACAATAGTATATGCATTTTATTTTTGGTGGTGATTATGTGAGGAATTTTTATTCTACATTTTAAAATGTTTTTTAGTAGCTTTATTAAGAAATGCATGACATACTATAAGCTGCACATACATAAAATGTACAACTGATCCATGAAACTGTCACTACAAGCAAGGTTATGATTTATCACCCCAGAGGTATTCTTTTGTCCTTTTGTAATCTCTCCCACCCAACTTTCCCCATCCCTCCCTCAGGCAAACACTGTCACTACAGATTAGTTTGCATTTTCTAGAGTTTTACAAAAACAGAATAATATATTATGGGTTTTAAACAAATGTTTGGTTTCTTTTACTCAGTGTAATTACTTTAAGATTTATTTTTCTTGTTTGGTGTATCAACAGTTTTTTTTTAGTTGTATTTTATTCATTATTTATCCATTTTTTTAATTGATGGATATTTGAGCTGTTTCCAGGTTGAAGTGATTACAAAAAAGAAAACCATGTTCTTTGAAGTACAAGTCTTCGAATGGACAGATACATAGGATGGTTCCAGAATGGCTGGATTACATGGTAGATGCATTTAATTTTTAAGTGACTGCTTACTGTTCTCCAAAGTGGTGTACTGTTTCTATGCCCACCAACAGTGCAATTTTTTATCCCTCCAAAGCCTCATCAAAATTTGGTCTGATCAGACTTTTAAATTTTAACCATATAACATATGGGTAGCAGCATCAGACTGTAGTTTTAATTTGTACTTTCATAATAACTAATGATGTTGAACATCTTAAAAAGAGTAGCTTTGTCTTAAAGCAGTGGTTGTGACACTTTGGTACAGGACTTTTTGACACTCTTAAAACTTATTTGAGGGTCTCAAGAGCTGTTTAAGTGAGTGATAACTATCAGTTACTTATTGCATTTGAAATAAAAACTAAGAAATTAAAAAAACATATTGATTTATTTGAAAATAGCAATGATGAATCCATTTCATTTTAACATAAATATTTTATGAAAAATAACTATTTCCCAAAACAAAATACATTTTTACAAGTCTTTGTAATGTCTGGCTGAACAGGAGAGAGCCGATGTTCATCGCTCTGCATTCGTTATGATGTCCTCATCATGCAACCTCTGGAGAGCTCCCGTGTATACTTTTGAGAGCGTTATAGATAAAAAAGGCAATTCTAAAGTAAAGTACAAATTTATTCCAGAATATGAAAGAAAAAAAGGCCAAAACTTGGAAAGTGAATTTTATTTGCTTTGGTTTAGAATACTTGAGCCTGAAAAAAAGCTTATAAAACATATTAAAATTTTGGCGTAGTTTCCACAGTTTTGATGGCTTATTTCCTTGGTTTACTGATTAATGCCTTTGACTACAATGCAAAAAGGTGTTCTTCACCCTTCTATGGAATCAGCCTAGCTAGTAGATATTCTATCTCAGCAAAACTATTTTCAGCGTTTTATGTTGACTTGATTGAAGTCCATGATTATTTAAAAAAAAGGGCCATCAATTGTGAAAAGAGTTAAGATTTGTGCTATTATTCATTACAAATGTTTTATTGTTACTTTAATTATTTAGATAACCAAGTATTGTTTTTTAGGCACCTGCACTCCTATCTTAACCACTTCTTTTGTTTTTGCCTTTCTCTTTCAGATGGTTATCATAAGATTAAACTGGGGGAGGGGTACCTGTGTGTTTTGAAAGCTCTTTTTTTTTTTTTTTTAAATATATTTTATTGATTTTTTACAGAGAGGAAGGGAGAGAGATAGAGAGCTAGAAACATCGATGAGAGAGAAACATCGACCAGCTGCCTCCTGCACACCTCCTACTGGGGATGTGCCCGCAACCCAGGTACATGCCCTTGACCGGAATCGAACCTGGGACCTTTCAGTCCGCAGGCCGACGCTCTATCCACTGAGCCAAACCGGTTTCGGCTTTTGAAAGCTCTTTACTAAATACTAGAGACCCGGTGCATGAAAATTCATGCACTGGAGGGGGCGTCCCTCAGCCTGGCCTGCACCCTCTCACAGTCCGGGAGCCCTCAGGGGCAGGAGGTGACCCAGTGATTAGGGAAAGGCAATGCCCCATCACACCTCTGCTACTGCCACTGCCAGCAGCGCAAGTCTTGGCCGGCCCTGATTACCTGAGCCTTGGGCGGCCCTGGGCGGCTGGGCAGCCACCACCTGAGGCTTACCTGTGCCTTGGGCCAGCCCTGGGCGGTTGGGGGACTGAGGGGACTGGGGGAATATAGAAGCAGGTGTGTGGGGCGGGCCTGGCCTTTCCGCATGCCTGCCACCTGTGTGGGGCTGAGGGGACTGGGCGCTGCCATCTTGTGGCTGTGGGCACCACCATCTGTGAGGGTGGGGCAGTCAATTAGCATATCCCCTCCTTATTGGCTGTGGGAGCTGCATCTTTGAGGGTGGAGAAGCCAATTAGCATATTCCCTCCTTATTGGCTGTGGGTGCCGCCATCTTTGAGGGCAGGGCCGTCAATTAGCATATTCCCTCCTTATTGGCCGTGGGCACCGCCATCTTTGCGACAGTGTGAGGGTCAATTAGCATATTCCCTCTTTATTAGATAGGACAAGGCATTATATACATACAAGAATCACTGAACACTGATCCAGTGGCCAACTTTCAGGGCAAAGGAAAGGCTGCTGTAAAGGAGGCTTATGACTTCTCCTTTCCTGCCTGATGCCCTGGCCCCTTCTTTCTTCTTCCTTCTTTGTGAATCCCATCCTCCTGCTTGAGCAGTTCCCATGGTTCCCCTCAGGCACTCACAACTAAACCACTCCAACAGGGTGACACCCACTGATGCTGAGGAAGTTTATTTCCAGCTCTCTGACACCAAGGCAACCCCTCTCAGGCGAAGACCTAAGAGCCCCTCATGGAGTTGACTTTATTACTAAACTTGAGTTAAATAAAGTACCT